GTTGGATTTTTGACGGGTATTTATTTCTAAGAGCAAAAGTTTGAGACTTCCAATCAAAGGCTCGACTTTAAGTGAATACCATTTGCATTGCCCTGTTAGTCCTATATCAAATTTCGTGTGCAAGAAGCTGTTACTTGTTTTAGAAAGGAGTCGAGAGTTGGAATTACCACAACTTTATCAAAGAAGGAGGGAAGCTTTCGATTTCTGTTGTGTCAGAGAAGGATTTCGAGCTGTTTCAGTTTCATACTCTCACTCAGCTGAATAGCGGGAAAAACCCAAACTCGGCTAAACAGCTGATAAAACTTAAAGACTAAATTTGAAAAGAGAATAAAATTCTTCAGTTCAACATTTCTCGGGATAGGGCGTTTGACACAAGAAAGAAGAGAGCCTGGCGTTAGGCGGGCGATCCGACTGGCTGATCATAATACTGAGAGGAAAGGGGTCGTTTCTGGGATGGTGAAAAGGGCCGGGTGTCAAAGCATGTAGGTGAAGCTATTCAAAGATTCTCATAGCAAAGACAAGTTTTCCTGTATAAGTTAAACCAGCAGGGCACATCACTATGGCGTTGGGAAATAACTACCGAAGAAAGTGTGTACGATTCTGAGAGTGATCATGTCCCATATGTTTCTACCTTCATTTTCTACATTTCTACATTTCTACATCCTTACCTATGAACATAGGTCAATAAACTTTGAGTTTGCATAAAGTTGAGCATCCCAACAATGTGAAATGACTCGGCTTAGCATTCAATTCTGTCAAGGAAATTACCGTAATCATGCGGATTTTGAAGTCCCTCAACACAAACTGTGCATTCTCCGAATTCATGTCATAATAATGTCAAGAAAATACAATGCTTCCGTTGTAGAACTTACCTATAAATACTTGTGCTCCGAAAATCTCTACTTGCGGATAAGTGTAGGTGGTAGGGTTTTCAGGATCATAAAGTTTCATAAATGCCAAAAAGGCGGTACTCATTTCACAGTAGGGTTCACAGAGGTCGCGAAATTCGAAGCTGTGACCGTGTGATTCCACAGTGATGTTGTCCTGGAGAGCTTTTACCAGCTCTACCAGACGTTGTCGATGTGTTTCCCGTAGAAGTGAACCGCCATCCGTTGCCGTTATCATCACGTACGATGGATCGAGAGTGCCATTCTGTAAGAAACAAGACGATAAGGCAGTTTTCTAGAAGCAAAACATCAACGTTTCATTGACATCCGTGTATTAGCATTATAGTGACAAAGGCAAAAACCCCAAAGATTGAAATTATAATTTACAAATCCACATCTCTTCACTTTTGCCCAGCCTTGTCCACTCTAGGATACGTGACTAATTGCGCAGAGTCTTCCCAGTCACAACGCCAGAGCCAAGCTACTCGTGGATACCCTATTCTCCAAAATTTAAGGAGCCTCCGATACGTCAACGCGGGGTAGGGTCGCTCAGAGAAAGCTCAAACTTCAGGGCCAAGAATGGCCGTCCATAAGTGAAGGACTGAGATGGCGATCTGTACTTTCAAAGCATGAACGCTTGCCTCGCAACTACGACGTTATCGGCTAACCGTGACGAGAAGGCAAGCGTAATTGCATGCCGCTTCCGTACTGAAGAAAAGCAGTTAGTTCCTCGTGTAGTTTTTGTCGCGAACATTTTGGCCAGGAAAGTCGATCTGTATGGAAGTTCGTCAACCAGAATCGGTTGCTTGCGATCTAGAAAACGTGGCACAATCTCGGTACTAACAATGTTCGTTGCCTACGCACCAACATCAAACTAAGAAGAATAGGAGCTGAGAGCACTTAGTATGTGGACTGGAGTACTCTACAGATAATATTAAACCTTTTTTAAGATCATTGTTGATGATTTCAACGCCAATATCGAGATTTCAACGCCACCCATAGAAGAACGGCTGATGAGCTTCGAACTCACCGAAAGAAGTGCGATGAGCAGGGTGAAAGACTATCCCAGTTTACTATGTCACACAACGCCACCCCTAGTAATTTGCAACTCTGGTAGCCCTTTCATTCGCATAGATTTGGATTCGCTGGTCAATGATCAATGGAGGAATCGATTTTCTAATCTTCATTAGAAGTTTTGCCTGACTGTTTTGGTTTGTCACGAGGTTCTACACATGACTGGACCATGTCCCCCTGCATTCTGTTTTCCAGTGGGTGGAAAGAGAGTTGTGAAGTTCACGAAACAAAGCCGGGAGACTACCGTCATTAGAATTATTTCGCTTTCCTTGCAACTTTACGGGAAGATTCCGTTATCGATAGAGTCAGGGAGACTAAAGCCGGCTTGCTGGACATCTCCACAAGGCTGGCAAACCAGGGAATATGCAAGTTACCAAGAGGCGACTCTCGTCGTTACGTTGAGCTCATACGACAGTGAGGAATCTGTCGTACAGGCTGTCGCCAACAAACGTCCGAAATTGCAAAGCTATGCAGTGAAGCGATAAAGGAAGATCTGAAAGTGAGAATCGCAGCAATCTCGAAAAAGCGGTCTGAACATTCGCAAAACTCCCGGAACTTCGCCAACTACAACACTACGATGACTTTCCCTGTCCCGACGGAACAGTTAGTGCATCTCGAAGGGCATTGGAGAAGGTGATCTACGACCTTTCTCAGACATAAGCCATGCCTACCTGACCATCTTAGACATGACAAACATTTTGTCCATTCAGTACCAACTTACAAAACTAGAATGCCATAGTGTCGATAAAGGGATGTACGGCGCCTGGTTTCGATGGGTTCGAACCAGCGAGCATTCCACCGATTTCCGTCGGAGCTCTGCTTAGACTCTTCCCGCGGTAAATGCAAAGTGCCCAGGTAGCAGGCTGTTTGCTGCATAGAAAGGAAGATTAAGATGACATTGACAACCACCATGCAAGCGAGCAGTGTTCCATGGAGAGGGTTCAGTGCAAATGTCGAGTCCACACTATCACAAGACTCACAAGATCGCGGGAATACAGGATAACGTTAGTCTGGCAATCATCGACTTGAAGAAAGCCTTTGCTGACGTCAAGATGGAAATAGCAATTGAAGCTAGAGCAATTAGAGTGTCTCTGATCAACATAAAAATGATTCGTGAGCTCTACGACAATTTCACGACAGTTATTTCGCCATTACGTACGAATGCCATTGTTAACATGAAGAGTGGGATTCCGCAGGGCGATACCATCTCGTTACAGAGCCATTATCGAAAACATCATGCGTCATTTAGTGTTCAAAATAATGAGGGAGTAGTGGAGAGACAGAGAGCAGCCGGCGTCGCCCTTACCTTTTTCTTTCCGCAGTGCTTCCTGCTTTGACGTACGCCTCGGAGACTTAGACCCTACGAAGCAGATCATCATGCAGTCAGCGGCATCCAAGGTGCTATGGGAAGGATTTATTCCGCAGGTGCAGAAGGACGTCGTTCGGAGTTTAGAACTCGGTTATGGACCAAAAATCAGAGATGCCACTGCCTTCGCCAAGGAATCGAAGCTCAGGTGTGCCGGACGCAATATGCGATAAAATCATGACCATTAGTCCTAGTCGCAGTTATTCACTGGATTCTTCAGGAGACCAAAAGAATACCAGGACGGCCGTAGGGCCTTCTCAATAGCTAGGAATGCTACCTTTAGTGTCCGTTTGGCGAGGACAATCCACTGAAGCGCTCTGGTTCCGAGACTATGGAGACAATGATGACGTACGCTTCAAGAAATCGATGATCATCGGGTTAGCAGGAGATACAGGTGATACACTCATATACAAGTATATACTACAGTACGATGCAAAGATCTACTTTTGCCTAGTTTTGGGATATAATAGCTGCTTCACAACCCACTGTATACTTTCAATAGAAGAGAATGTCTCCCAGTTATAATTATAGCGAGCGTCGTTGCTAAGATTTGCCCACAGGAATTTTTGGACCGAGAACTCAGGATTCGAACTTTTTTGAACTTTGAATTCACCGCTATATAGAGCTCGACGACTTGAATTGGGCTATGCAACATTATTTGTGAAAAAAATGAGCTAACAAGATTATAGAGAGGAGACGAAAAATAAGTAAATTGCCGTTTTTCGCAATTTTTCGCTGAACAGTTAGAGTGGGTACTGTATCTGTTGCTAGAAACCTTGAATTCAGACACTATAAACATTATCCTCCCTTTTAAGAGCCCAACAGCTCTACAAGGCGGTTCTTCGGATCCTTTAGAATTCAAAACAGCTTTTTTGTAACAGCTTGATTTTATGGCTTTACTTCCAAGCTTTGGAGATCATACCGTCTATGAGGATAAAGGATAAAGTCTTGGGGCGTAAATAGATCCCGTCTGGGGTATACCAACACACATTCGAGTTCCATTAAGAATCGTATGGGCGTAGTGAAATGCATGAATGCGTATGTCGCATAGCCATGACTTGCGGTGGCCAGCCTTAACAAGTCAATGCTTTTAACCTCCCAAATGAGTTTGGCACCAGCTGTTAGACTCCGGAGATGAAAGGCTCTGTTGGCCTAGCCGGATGTCGATCCGAGATTCGAACCCATGACCATGGGTGTGTGAAGCGTGCCACTTGCCACTACATCATCACTTCTCTGCCCTTATTTCATATATTAGTGCGAAGAAAGCCATGAAACCACAATAAAAGATGGATGATTGATGCCTACCTGCATACAGTGATCTACTCAATGACAGGTAAGCACTTCCTCTATTGTGTCATCTGAAATGCAACTACGCGGCCTAAATATAGTATGAATACACTAAATTAGAGCACAAAAGGGTAGCCAACTACATGGTAAAATGTCGCTGTACTGCTAACGACCTCAACAAGATCTATGATGCCGGTCGCATGAGTGCGGCAGTTCATTTTTCTGATTACATGAACCACAGAACCACACGCTGCCACTCATGACTTGGGAGATGGACAAGTGTACCGGAGAGCTGAAAATTGGGTCAAGACAGGGTTTCATTGAGAGCTTGCCTTTGTATCACTGACTAGCAATTGTTCTGAGTAATCGAATAGTATATACATATTGCAGTCTTAAAGTTTGATTCGGTAAAGAAATACGGAGTGCTCAGTGCACAAAGATATACCACGAACTCGTGTTTGTGGCGACGTCACGGAAGGAAACGCTTAAATACAATAATGCTGCAGAGACATGCGCAGCACTGACTGTCGTCTTGAATCGACTATCGGACATTGTCACCCTTTCAGAACTGGACGGATTGTTTCTGTAACCTGATCGTGAGAGCATCCCCTAACAATAAGAGCGGCTACTTCATTATTCAGCTTTTTCAGAATTTTTGAAACCTGCTCCATCTCCTTGTAGAGCTCGATGTTTATATATAACGACAATGCGGTCATTGAAAATTTTATTGTATATTTGCATCTGAGCCCTATAATAAAAAAAGGAAGAAATGCGAATGAACTTTTTTGAATGAAATTATTATCCCTCACTGCGAGTACTCTACTTAAAAAAGTACCTGGTTCAAGAAAGCTTCTGCCACGGCGTACTCCCGTCGACTGGGGCTATTAAGGGGCGAATACTCGGTGCGAACATTGTTGACCTCCTCGAATCGAATGAAGCCGATGCTAAGAATGGCGCTACTCAGCATAGACAAGGTGATGACGGTTGCTGGACATCGACCGATTAACCGACCGATACCGACGAATGTAGCCGCCATTCGACGCTCAAAAGCCTTTTTGAATAACATGAAAGTAGGAATGGAGTACAATGGATTAAGTAGGATAGGAGGTTGATTGTAGAGGACGTGAGTGGGTTTCGGCTACAGCTGGTGCCGTTTTAGACGCTCTCGAGTCTGATGTGCGTTAGGGCAGAAGACGTTAATGTTGGACTCTGTCTGAGGCGTGTTCGGAATCTGAAACAAGTTCAACTATAGGTAATATTCAGTACGTTAGACCTCGTTTGCCGATTTGAATGTGGCACAAAGGTGCCCGCGACGACGATATTACAGCTGCCCTTATGCGCACGCTTACGACAATGCACTTGATACCGTTTGTTAGTTTCATCAGAAATTCATACTGGGTGACCTTAACAGAACGCAATACCAAAAGCAATTGGACATTAAATCAGACCAGAGTAAAAGTTTGTGCAGTGCACTAATATTTGGCTTTTAGACAATACAAAGAATCATAAAAGTGAGGAGCCAGTTTTTTCAACCTCTCCGCACGGGTCAGGAGTCATAGATTCACCAATATGAAAAAGGAATAGGTAAGCTGAAAGGACCCAAGAAGGAATTTGGTCTTTTGACGACGTATGCGCAACCTTTGTTGTTGATGCCTGATGTGATGCGTAGGGTGAAAAAAACTATTGCAGTGGTTCACTGTAAAAAGCTGAAGCCATGACCTTGAGTATGGAAGTCATCCTCGAAGCTTGCTAAAAGTTCCATTTGCTGTAGCTACTCATCGATATTCGTCAGTGGAAAACGTATTTCGGTGCTCGAGAGAGCTCAATCAAAAACGTTTGTTTTTCAAAAAATTAGAACCAGTTCTGAATATAATTGATATAAGAGGGTTGCAGAGCGTTCTACAAATCCTTTGACTACTTTCAACGCCAAAATCGAGAAAGTCCAAATGCCGATTACCGACTTCTCATCCTACCCTATATTGGAACATGATTCTCTACAAAAATGAAAACTTACAGGACTGTGGGCAGCTAATGAAGACAGTATTGAGTAGTTTCGTAAAAATGAAATAAGCCCTTAGCGACAGCTTGTGACTCAGCATGATAATTCAGTCAGATCACTTTTACAGCTGAACGAAGGAAAAAAGGTGAGAGCTCAGTAGACCCCTTCTGTTATATGGCTCTAAAACAACCTTCACATTTAGCATTATGCACTGCTCCAAAACTGGCTATGAGGTTAGGCGCATTAATGGTAGTCGGCTAGAAGAGGTGCAAGTAATTCTTGCAGATCGAAACTTTTACCGGCGAGGATAAAAGTGTATAGTATAGATATCTAGCCCGGCATGTTCGTAGGAATGCTTATCACCTGCTCAAGTTACATATCAGATATGCATTCAGCAGTGCGTCATAGGTAGAGTAGCGGTCTTCAGCGGTATCGCTTGGCTCCACACTGACATTTTTCGAAACTGCTATGCTGTAATTCTCATTTCATCTTACATCAAGTCAAATCATGAATAACGGTAGACGCAGGTTTGATTCGGCGATTCAGTAATAGAAACATAAGTATGTCGCCGTTTCAAGGACCTTGAAAAAAGACTTCCTCAGCTTGTTACTTTTCTCAACTATCCAAACGCATACGAAAACATTGCGAGCTTGAATGTGTACCTTGATGACACCCCTCTGTGACTTTCAACTCTGACTTAACGCGAGTGCTCGTGCACATTTTTTTTGCCCTGGCGTTTAGTCACATTTGGAAGTACAAGGAAGACTCGAAATTGTGAAGGTAGGCGGTGTGATTCATGAGAAAGGAGGTCTTCCAACCTTGACCTTGCCTTCCCGAAGTGCGAAAAGAACAGGAGGATTCATAATAGATTCTTTTTCAATGTAGGGTATGAATAACAATGTGAGAGACACTAGGTTTTCGCCAAAATTAAGATTTTTCATTGTATTCACCCCCTCTTTATGAGTTGCTCAGCTTGCACCAGATCCATCCAAGCCGTCTTAGCTAGGATGGATCTGGTGCAAATAGTTGCCAGAATGGTCTTTGCAAGTAGAGCCAGTAAGCTGACCGATCAGCTGTGCAAAAAATTACACTTTCCTTTTGTTCGGCAAAAAGACAAATTGGAAGTGAAGATCCACCTCGGAATGGCCAACCATATAGTGAAAGCCCTGTCCATGAACCGTCTTGATCTTTTATTCGAATCATGCCACTTTCAGTGGAGTACATTTTTCTAAGTGAGTTCCCTATTATAGTCTGCAGAATCCCTGCCAATGTTGTCATCGCGAATAGTGTTTCCTGCCCTCCGAATGCTCAGTTACTGTATTCACTTCTCACTGGTCACGTCAGTCACTCCTCCCCCCCACCACCACTCCAATTGCTGTTCTTGAAGTGCAAACTCGCGAGCCGATTCAGCTACACCTGTACTATTGCGCAAAATCATAACGAGATTTGAAAATTGACTTCTCCTAGTCAGCAGAGAAAAGACGTGATCTATCTCATCATTAGTTTGAGCGATGATATCTGAATATCACAAAAATCCGTAGAAACTAAAAAAAGGAATTGAACAACAAAGAAATCTATTCTATCCAACATCAAGTCATCCGTTCATCTGTGATGCATACATTACTACTACCTATTATCAAACTAAAACTTGATTTTCATTTGCAAGAGTATACCATGTTGACCCAATCTGTCTTGACTTGATGTTTTGGTAACTGCTGTCTGATCGTGTCTGAAGGTCTCACATAGTTATGTTTAAACTTCCATCCTTTGAAGGTACTTGAACTGGCACAGTGCCCGCACATTACTTGTGCTATCAAAGCAGCTCCCACCCCTCTTATCCCTTAGCTATCGACACCCTGTATGCCCTTGCCTTCTTAATAGCTTATATACATATTTATTTATTATCCATTATTTGTTATTGGACATGCTACATACAAGCATATGAATAAAAGGTGACGACATAGACCGTTTCTAAACTAAACTTAACCACAAGACATCATCAACCTATTAATAGATTTCTAAAAGTACGATAATTAGAAGGGATTAGATCTCGACGTGAAAGAGAATTGAAACATGATATAACTCTATTACTAAAAACTGCGACTTAATTTGGGTTCTTGCTGGCATGGTTGAAACTGAGGAACCTCTAGTATAGAAAACACAATTGTGAAAAACTTGGAAACATTCACAATAGTTATGCCATTCAAAATTTTGTATGCCATAATATATTAAATTCTTTCCTTCTCCGTTCGAGAGATTTTGGACTGTGTATCTTTTTACGCTCAGTTCCACTAGGTATTTCTTTATAGTTTGAACGATGACTCCGAATCATGAGTTTACGAGTGAACTATTTTGTACTCCTTTCACAGTAGAATGTATTTCCTCTTATACGGTGCGGAAACGGTAAATCCAAATTCTAGAATGGGACGAAGGTGAACCTCAAATGCCCCAAGCAAAGTATTAGAGTCATTGGTGCGAAGAACGTTGAAGACATTGGAACTTCGACGGAGGGCTTTTGAGACTAACACTTTATAATGATTAGAAAAGTCAAGAGTCATATCATAATGAAATCCTAGATCGTTCGTATCCAGGGTAATATGAACTCGGCTCAGTACAAGGACGTCTTTGAGAATGTAATGCTCCCGTTCGCCAACCAAGACCTGCCGACACGGTGGATTTTTGAACACGATAATGATCCGAGGCATACTTCCCCCAGCCAAAGGAAAGGAATGGCCGAGTCAGAGCCCAGTCCTGAATCCTATGGAGCACCTTTGGGAAGAACGAGCATGCCGTACAAGCAAGGTTCCTGTTGGGAATGCTGACAAAAAATTCAATCTATTGTCTAGAGAGTTGGCTCTGATACCACAGTGAAAAATTGAAGCTTTAATCGATTCGATGCCAAGAAGATGCAAAGCAGTAGTCGATATACTTGGTTATCCAACGAAGCGTTGATTGATGTTACCATGAACAATTTCCCCTGCTATTGTGAACTTTCCAAACCCTGACGCACCCTCTTCACCATAAATCGTACTTTTTAACTCTAATCATTTGGTCCTGAAAAAACACGTTGCCTATCGTGTTCTTTGTTTGCTTTTATACCTATGCAAAATTGAGACAGTTACGTAATCCAGTGCCCGCGCTATATCGAAAAATAAAAAGTTTCCAAACTTTCAACCGCGACTGTATATCCATATAAGGTGCGCCATAAATATGATAACAGCTCTTGGAACGCCCGTAATTTTCTTGTTTGGAAGGTCTCTCCGAATATGCACCTTCCCTCATGCTTGTGGTATACCTCAGACTACATATCTACATACTTCGGTGCTCTCATTTCGTCAGATTTCGAAAAACGTCGGAGACATCTACCAGCCGTTCCGTCTTTGCGCGCATTTAGTGAGTCGCTTTCCGGAATCGCTCTTCTTTCAACATCTCGCACACTGACAGTCTCTTGAATCACGATGCGGTGGGTGGACAGGTGAGTGACGAACCTCAAAACGGTCGTCTTGTCCCTCATACTACTCCTTTTCCAAATACAATTGCTTGGGAAGGAGTAAGTTGCGGAATCCGCAGAAATACGAGAAAAATGACTGCCGATTTGTTTGTATGTCCTACTCCGATGAGAAGAGTCTGCTCCGAGTAAATACAATCGTATCCAGACAAGATTCGGAAGCCCTATAAGCTTTTTGTCGAGAAGAAGTTGAAGAATAAAAACAAATGATGTACTTTACTCGCGCTCGGCGCTTCGACACACTTTTTTCTGACTGAAGAGTATTCAGCGTGGAAGAAATGTTGAGATCCCAAAGTATTTATATTTCACACCATGAGTGCTGAAGCCGTTGAGAAGAGTCGGATCGCCTCGCAAAGCCTTTTTTCTTTTTCATGATAGTTTGGGCTAGAATCTCTACCACCAGAGCGATATCGCAAATTTCGGTCAAGAAAAGTACAAAGTTCATTCCAAACCTCGTCAAGAAGTGGTTTTCTGAAAGAAAGCAGCTAAGGGTCAAAGATTTTTTTAGGGATTCGATTTGGAAACTATGGCGCACTACTCACGAATGGAAAAAGAGCGA